ATATCATAGCTCCCTTGGACAGAGTTTCCCCGAACTTTTTCTGCAGCATAGACTCGATCTCGTCATCCTCCAAGTCGTTCCCTTTGATGGCGTATGTGTAGGAGGTTACATGCTCATTTGGGTCGGTCGTTCCGTTGTACTTAGGAATCTCGGGCATGCGGAACTTCTTTGGGATCGGCTTCGGTGTTGCGCTCGGAGGAAAAGGTTTTTGAACAAACTTCTTGGAATCCATGCCATTTAATATCGGAGGTGCTCCTGGGATTTGGTCGACCCTGGAATTTTAGGTTTTCACCTTTTTGTCATTGGCTTCGATTTTCTTCTCCACTGATTCTATCTGTTTCGTTAATTCCTCGAGTATTTTTATGATCTCGAGCTTAGCCCTCGATTCATTTTCATTCGGCCTCTCCGTGATCGGTTCATTTATGCGGGTGACTTCCCGGGATGGCTCGGGCTCAACCCTGCTCGGCGCTCGGCTTTGATTCTGTAACTGAGCTATCGCTGCCTGTTGAGCCTGTAACATTTCGAAGATTACCCGCAAATTGATCCCGTCGTTTTCACCGTTGTGCGTATTCTGGGCAATTGATCAGACTACCCTACGCACGATGTTCTCTGGATTTGGTAGGCAAATTTGTGTTAATGGCCGCATGCGAACTGGAGTCGATAGGGTCCGCGACCGAAACTCCGCCGAGATCGACTGGGGGCACCTCGTTACCGGGTGCTACATTGTTGTTCTCACCAAGGTGGCTGGACTCCGCATTCATGTTTAGAGGGGCAGACTGGGGGTTTGACATTTAGATTTTAATATGTAATCAAAGACACTTCAAAGAATAAGTGTAAAATAGGGTGTGTTACAGGAATTTGTATCAAATTGCCGCTATTATCCTTAGCTCCACGGTGGGCGCCAAACTGTTTACCCTCAGAATCGGATAACAATTAAATTTATAAGTGATTTTAAGGATACGCGGATTAACTTGATACAAAGCAATAAATTAAGTTGCTATTGAATAAACAAAGACAAAATAAATTCAAACCACACGAGTTGGATAGTTTCAGCCTTAGTGAAATAGCCACTCTCGAACCGAGCTCACCAAGACCGGTATGGATGAAAAAGAACAAGAGCTTAAAGACGGAGAAAATAATAATGTATTGCTTTTGAGTGTGTGTTACAATACCTCAAATGAATTATTAGACCCCATTTTATATAGTAGGGGAGTCCTATTTTAGATACAACTCTATAAAAGGTAAATAATCTTCTGATTCACTGATTGTCGGTTCCTTATCAATGCGTTCCGAGATTCCCGCCGTAACATTCGGCCAGTCACGGATATTTCGGCCTTCTGTTGGCTATGCTGGATTGTCTGACAATATTTTTCGAAGTCGTTCGAGGCTAGGACCGATTCCGGAATCATGGCCTCGATATTCTCGAAGGCAGACGTCATGCCCCGGGTTCTAGCTCGATGAGACTTTGGCTCGATTTCGGTCCCTTATTGCCATATCTCGAGCCTGGCTTATCTTGTCGAAGGATAGGATGTACCATGAGCTTGATTTCGCCCGTATACAAATAGTTTCAACGACATATTAATCATTTTAATAGAAAAAATATTTATAGCATTTTTTAACAAGTACACTACTGCTTATTATCAATTTCAACACTTATATCCATACACATAATTATTTTTTGTAAAATGAATTTTAGCATCTCAAAATATTTTCCAGCACTTAAGATTTATCATCTACTTTTAATTGGCTAATCCAAACGGCCTTATAGTTTGTTTATTTTAAGATCTAAAGAGTATATTAGACATCAAACCATATGCTTCTCTCTTTACACATAATACCATTAAAAAAAAGTACCTGATACCATGAACCACAGGCTTATTAGGTATGTGACATATGAAAACAATATTTGTTAGAAATTTATTGTCAAGATACACATTTAAGCTGCAATTAAATGTCACCAAAGTTACAACTTACAAGTCGATGTTAATTGCGAGGAAGAACAATAAATTGGGAAGATCGGAGTTGTTGACTAGGATGTTAATTATAGGGATTGCTACTTATTTGATTTTTCTAAGATAACAGGTATTCTCTTGTGCCAATCGGGTAGACTTCGATAAATAATTTAACTCATAAGTAGAGTAAATATAACATCAATTCTATCAATTCAGTAGAGAAATTCTTGAAAAGCAACGTTATAACAATCAGGTAGATTTCGATGAACAACTTAACAGATAGGTAGAATAATAATAACATCAACTCTACCAACCCGATAGAGAAATCTTGAAGAGCAAAAGTATGATGATCTGGTACACTTTAATAAACAATTCAATCCGGTAGAGAAACCCCTGGAGAGCTATGTGCGGGTCTGGGGCTACTTTTAAAATAACACTAATTTTGGGGACATTCGGCTAAGACTAGTCCCTTGCGGGGCTATTCCTGTCAATCTTCCCTCTTAACAGTATGTGATATTGTTCGTTTTGCGTTGATTCTGCATGTTTTTTTTCAAAAGGTCGCACACCATTAAGAGATTCCTATATCTTATTTGTAGGCTCCCAAATTTTTCAGATATTAATGCGGGATTTTATTCGCACAACCAACGATTCCCCCATCAGACTAAGTTCTACATAGCCCAATACCTAGATGAAGCAGCAGGGATCGGTCTGTAGAACATATAAAAAGGATGTGGTTGTGGCGCGAAGTACTCTGGGTCGCCGAGGTTCCTTTTCTTCCGCCTCTTAAAATCCGCTATCTCTATGATTTGATCCTTCGTGTATCGGCCCCATACTTCTTTGATCTCCCTTTCTCCTGGCGTAAGAAAGTGACACAAGTTTGATCCATAGATCTTCCCCTCGAATCAAGTTCCACCTAGTCTATTACCACAATTCACGTGTCAATTTTTGAGATTCATTATGTGCAACTACATCATCATTTAAGCTCGTAAAAATAAATAAATCGAACCTCACTCCATCACTCTGCTATCGTCGTACTCATGATAATAAGCATATATAAGAATGCATTTGGTTGCCGCCATCTGTTTTGTGATAACGCCTTTCAACGGGAAGCATATATCATTTTTATTAGATCTATTTGAGCTTCCTCCCTTGAACAATATTTCTTTTTAAAATTACCGCTCAATTACCCATTCTAATGTTAAAGATAATTTGATTTTTAACATAATGTTAGAGGAAAAAAAATTGGTTTCTTATGTTTGGAGATATGTTTAAAATAGTCCCTTAAGGCATCTCCAATCCTTGCCTCCATTTTCTCCTCCAAAATGAAGTAAAGTTACTTCAATCATTACTCCATTTTTTACTCCAAAAAAAAATATTCTATTTTATATTCTTTTCTCTCTTCAATATTATATTATTATCTTTTATTTAAATTTTATTTTCTTATTTCTATTAAAAAAATTCTATCTTTTTTTTCTTTTTACATATTCATCACATATAATTTATATTCTTTCCTTGTATAACCATTTAATATAAAATTATTTTATACCATAAATTTTTAAATAATATAATTTGTAAGCAAATATTATACATTATATATATTAACGGATAATTCAAATAAAAGTGAAATCATTGAGATACAAGATAATTAAATACATATTAGATTATGGTAAAATTTAAATTAAATATTACATAAATAATCAACTTTCACCTCTAGTATACTCCCATAAATGATTGCAAAATGAGCATCTTTGTCCTTAATTTTTTTTTGTGTCGATTGTCGAGCTAAAAATTGTTCAAATCAATGATTTTCATCTACTACCATTTTTACCGTTGGAGGTGGACATTCCCAATCATCTTGAATTGGTGCATTAAGATCACGCTCATTTTAAATCGATGATTTTCATCTACTGTCATTTTATTATTGTTTTTAATTTTAATGTATTTTAAATTTTTACTTTTCAATTTTAGCAACATCTAATATTTTATATTTGCACCATTCATTTTTTGAGATGATTATATATTTTTTGTACAATTATAACTTATAATAAAATTAACTTATAATTTTACATAAAAATAATAAATGCACGAAAATTAATTTATCAAAATTATACGCCAAAGTTAAGATGTAAAATTAATATTATAACGATATTACATAAACATAATTAAGTATATATAAAGAGATAAATTAAACGAGTTAAATAATAAAAATAATAATAAAATAATAGAGAATGGTAATGGATGAGATGAATAGTATCACTCCAAATTTGGAGTAACACTATTCATCCCCCATTTTGCAGCCAAAAATGGGGAGCATTGGAGCCAAATTTCTCCAAAAACTGACTGCATTTTGGCAAAATGGAGCAGCGTTGGAGATGGCCTAAATATACTACTGAATGGTCTTGGTCTTTTTTTTTGGCTAGAACGGCAAGATGTATTAAAACAGTAAATTAAAGAGTGATTATAACATGGAACAGATCTTAACGATTCAATTCCAAACAAGTTTTTGTGATAAGTAAAGTGAGCAAATAAAGGCATTGTGCTCCAAAATATATCTTCACGTTCAGCATATCCTTCCAGTGCATAATTTGTTAGAACGTGAGCGCTTCACAATATTTATGCTTGACTGGTGGCTGGTCCATTGCTGCGATAGTCCAATGGTCCTGGTCTTTTAAGTTTGTCAAAAGTGAATATTTTTTATTTGTCAAATTAACAAACACTAGTTATTAGATTATTAGATTTAATTGAAATGATAAATAAAAAAAATTAACCAGAAACATAAGAGACTATTTTCCTCATTTTCTCCACAACGTTAGACGGAGAAAATCACTTTTTTTTCTTGTTGAGAAAATTATTGTTTACCCGACAAATAAAGCGGAAAAAGAAAACAAATTTCAAACGCAAACGCAACGAAGCGTCACACGTAATACAGCCAGAGACGACAGTGGTATTACATGTAATATACTCAAAATACTAAGGGCATTATTTAACCGCAAAACGTTATTAATTTTAATTTTTTCACTTGCCCTTTGTCCTCTTCTTCACGATTTGCCTTATATTTTGGTGCATCTGTCTCTCTCCACCTTTCATTTCTCTTTCTGCTTTCTTTAACTTTTACCTTAGGCGGACCGAACGAGGTACTCTGAAAAAGCCATCGGAAAAATGGCTCTGAAACTCAATCCGACGACGTTTCAATCCATTAAAACGACAACGTTTCCTTGTTCTCCACTCAGATCTCATAGAGTTTTCATGGCTTCAACACTTCGTCCCCCGTCTGTGTGAGTTTCATTTTGTCTTTGTTCTTCTTCTTTTTTCCTTCAATTTTATGGAATGGGTAATCCCACAAATATGGTTTCTTTGATCCCTATTTTATTTTTTTAGCTGAAATATTGGATGTTTGTTTGTATGGTCTGATCACAATTATTTAAGTTTGTAAATGTGATTGATTGTACTCGTTGCTATAATGCATGGTTGTATCTTGCAGTCTGTGTTCATTTCTATTTGTACATTTATTTATATATGTTCGGTGTATTTTGTCTTTTTTTATTCAAGATTGAATAAAGATTTTCTTCGCTACAGCACTTAGTGTGAGCTCATTTGCACATGTATTTGTCCGGTGGATTGGTTGAGGCGTTCAAAAGCTAGCCCAGATAACCCTCATAAAAAAAGGGGGAAAAAGAAAAGACAAAATGTGATGCAAGTTTGATTAATGCATCTGCATTTGCTTGAATTTTCTATTTTATGTTTTCTTGAAATGCCTTTACTGATTGTTTTCTGCTAATCTTTTATTTTCCACTAGCTTAGTCATTATTAAGGTCATATTGCTTTTTTTCCTGCTGTGATTTAAATTGATATTGCATGGCGGAGGCTTGATTTTCGCTAAGGGGTTCAAAAAAGAAAAAGTTAAAAAATTAAAAGAAACTGTGGCCAGTGGGAATTGAACCAGCAACCTCACAAAAGTTTTGAAGCCCCTTGGCCATTGAGCTATGCTTTTGGGCTGTGTCAAGGGGATTCAAAATATAATATATAGAGGCACAAAATGAATTTTACCTTATATGTACCGTGTAATTTTCCGGCGAAGGGTGAACCCCCTTCCGCCCCTCTAAATCCGCCCCTGCATGCATTGGTTAGAAGATTATCATTGTACTGATTAACTGTTAGAATAATAACTGGTTCTGTCAATGCACATTACAAATAGGTTGGACAGATTTCTCTGTGCCGTTTTTCTTCATGTGATTGAATTGGGTAGAGTTTTTCTTTCATAGATGAGTGTTTGATCACACCTCCGGAGTCCGGACCTGCTTTAGGGAAATAACCACTTGACAAACAATAGTAAAAGGGTGAGTGGCAAAGTAAAGGGGAATTGTTTTCTAAAGGAGAAAAATAAGGGGGAATTGTCATGTGATTGGCTTCATCCATTGTGTTGTTTCTGACCAGTGTTTTTCTTCTTGAGGACCAAATAATTGTTTGCCTTAAACTAAGCTGAGACTGTGAATTTACCGTTGTAGCTCATCATCTCTTCAAAAAAAAAATGCATAAATTGTAATTCTAATTTTGCTTCCCTAATTGTAGGGAAGGTGGAAGTGTGAAGAAGCCATTCAGTCCTCCACGTGAGGTGCATGTTCAAGTTACCCATTCCATGCCGCCAGAGAAGCGTGAAATCTTTGATTCCTTGCAAGATTGGGCTGAGAATAATATCTTGGTGCACCTAAAGCCTGTCGAGAAGTGTTGGCAGGCCAGTGACTTTCTTCCGGATCCTGCATCGGAAGGATTTGAGGAGCAGGTCAAGGAACTGAGGGAGAGATGCAAGGAAATTCCTGATGACTACTTTGTTGTATTAGTTGGAGATATGATCACAGAGGAGGCTCTTCCAACTTATCAGACGATGCTTAACACCTTAGATGGCGTTCGTGATGAAACTGGTGCCAGCCTTACTCCTTGGGCTATTTGGACTAGGGCATGGACTGCCGAGGAAAATAGGCACGGTGACCTTCTCAACAAGTATCTGTATCTTTCTGGAAGAGTTGATATGAGGCAAATTGAAAAGACAATTCAGTACCTCATTGGCTCAGGGATGGTGAGTTTGCTTCTCCTTTTTTCTGCAGTTGCTATTAAGCTTTGAAATCATCTTGGAGATTCATTGGCAAATTTTATTCAAATTTCTATGGCATAGTATTTAATCATTAGACTGATGTAATAGCAGATTTCTTTAAGAGTATGTGTGGTATCTGTCTGTCTGTATGAGCCTCCAAATCTCACGCTGACAAAAATTCTCAGATTTGGTAAAAGTATTCATATCGGAGAATTAGTTGTGGTTTAGTTCCTTTGATATTTAAGTTCATATTGGAGAACTAGTTGACATATATATACTGAGTAAAGGTTCTGATAGTACATTTGGCATGCTCCATTATGCTTTTTCCTCTCAAATTACAAAGTCTTTTTTCCTTCATATTCTCTTGTGTATAGATTCAGAATTTAAATGGCCTGAATCTGTTACGGTTCATGGCTCATGAGAGTGCTTTCTCGTTATGCATATGAATGTGGTTTCTGTCTTAGGTAGTAGTTTCTTTTCTGATTTTCTTACTCAAGAAGAGTACTGTATTCACTTCCCTTTTCTTATCCATTTGGCCACCTAAAAGACTTGTGACTACAGAGATGATTAATTTATTACTCAATACGGACTTAAGTACTGAGAAACGATAGATCTTGAAGAAGCGATTTGTCTGCATCCTGATATCAGCTCTATTTTTGCCTTTCTGACCAATTGTATGGCCTTGTCTGTTGTTTGTATGAGTAAGTGTAAAGACGACTTGCTTGTCAGTGGCATTAACATTCTGCTTTGATTAATCTGATTTCATCTTGGCTAAATATTGCATTAGAGATTTGAGGTTCATGACTAACATGTTGGTTAAGACTTTATCTCTTGATTTGCAGTTTGTTTAAGTTGATTTTTTTTCATGCAAATATTTGATGGTTTTCTATACTTTTAGGATCCTCGCACGGAAAACAACCCGTATTTGGGTTTTATCTACACTTCCTTCCAAGAGAGAGCTACCTTCATTTCTCACGGAAATACAGCTAGGCATGCTAAGGAGCATGGGGACTTGAAACTAGCACAGGTATGTGGTATAATTGCTGCAGATGAGAAGCGCCATGAAACTGCATATACCAAGATTGTGGAGAAGCTGTTTGAAGTCGATCCAGATGGCACTGTACTGGCTGTTGCTGACATGATGAGGAAAAAAATCTCGATGCCAGCTCATCTGATGTATGATGGCAGGGATGACAACCTCTTCGAACACTTCTCTGCTGTAGCTCAACGCCTCGGCGTATACACTGCAAAGGATTATGCAGACATTCTTGAATTTCTGGTGGGAAGATGGGAAATGGAGAAATTGACTGGTCTTTCTGGCGAAGGACGCAAAGCGCAAGATTATGTATGTGGACTGGCTCCGCGTATTAGAAAATTGGAGGAGAGGGCACAAGCCAGGGCCAAAGAGAAGGCTCCCGTTCCTTTCAGCTGGGTATTTGGTAGAGAGATTAAGCTCTGAATGCTATATGTTTGAAGGGTTATGTTTACTTTCCGAACACCAATCGCCATAGGAATTGGTAGAAAAAAAATTCAGGGTATGGTATCTATCAAGTAAGTATTTGTCATCCCTTTGTAGGGAAGATGCTATGGAGTTAAAATTGCTCCTCTAGAATCCTGTAGATACCTTAAATTTTGTTTTTGTCTAGCAATTGTTTTGGTAATATCAAGAAAAAGGACAGCCTTAAGTTTTACCTCCCCTTTTAGCGCATGTAAGTTCTTTATGAGTTGGATATATGAAATGTTGAGTGGCTATGTATAAGACGATTGATGTTATATGTTGCTCTAATTTGACTATTAAGAGTGCTATGTATAAGACGATTGATGTAAACTGCTATGGTTTACAGTCAATAGTTATTAACAAACCCTTTTTTTGAATTATTATTTAATATTAATTAATTTATTATTATATTATCGAAACGACCCTTTTTTGGGGGAGGAGGTGATATTCTTGAATCCAGTACAGAAAGGCAATGGCAATGACTAGCCAGTTACGTTGATAAAACCAAAGTTGTATGTATACAGGGAAATACCAATCTTGTCACAAGTTCGAACGACATTAGTAGTTTTTTATGTATGTATCACGCTATTTTACTCTCATTATTTAGCATGTAAGCAGGAGCAGCTCAAATGGGAAGCAACTAATGCGTCGCTTTAGGCCCCCAGATTTGAGGGCCCCATTTTTAGAAATAGTAGGCTTAATTTTTTCACTTCAATATTGATTTGAACAATTTAAAGCGTACGAACGTTTTTTTGATTTTCTATTTTGTGGTAAAAAATGGGGCAAGCGCACGTATAGCCATTCAGAACGTATTGGCTAATTCCTAAATAACGACCATTTAGAATAGTTATTTGGTGTCATTTTGATGAATATAAATTATTCATGTATTTTCATACGTATAAATAAGGATTTTTAAATAAAACATGAATATAAAAATAAAACATGAATAAATATATTCGATTCTCCTATATTTTCTAACAAGTTTTGCGGAGGAAAGATGAATTGAGGAAAGAGGACTACAAGCAAAACAAGAAGGAAAAAGAGCAATGCATGCAGTAAACAAGAGTGAATGTAACTTTAAAGTTACAACATCCAAGTCGTGCAAGTCACAACATCAATACTTAAAGTTACAACATCATCTCACCTTTGCTACACATTTTCTATAAATAGGCACTCATATTGTATTGTGAAAGGGAGAGTCTTGGGAAAGAGAAAACTACTCTTTGGTCTCTCTTTTGTCTTTAGTATTTTCTACTAGTTGTCTTTCTAATAGAAAAATAATATTTATTCATAAGTTCTTTGCTTCTAAATTAGTNCTCAGTTTAATACATCCTTGGCTTGAAACTTTCTTTTTATACTTTGTACTGTGCCGTAATAATATTTTTTAATTAATCATTTTTATCACTTCTACATATTTTTATCTCTAAGTTATTTTTATATTGATTTTGTAATTCTCACGAAGCAAAAATTGATATATAATAACCAATGAATAAAATAGTAGAGTGAGAGTAATTTTTAGTAAACTGTAACGACCCGACTTGTCGTTTTAAGAATTTACGCCACATTCGACGACTTAAGGTCCCGGACAACTTCATAATATGTATTATGACCCGCGGGTGTGGTCGTGTTTAATTTTCGGAAGATTTAGAATTTAATTGAAAGAGAAATTCTCATTTTGAAACTTAAATGGAAAGAGTTGACTTTTGAGCAAACGACCTTGGAATAGAATTTTGATGATGTCAATATCTTCGTATGGTGATTTTGGACTTAGGTGCGTGTTCGGATTTGGATTTGGAAGTCTGTAGGACAATTCGATGGATTTTGGCGAAAGTTAAAAAATAGACGATTTTCGGAAAGTTTGATCGAAGATTGAATTTTTGATAACGAGGTCGGAATCCAATTCTGAAAATTGGAATAGGTCCGTTATGTCACTTATGACTTGTGTGCAAAATTTGAAATCAATCGGACTTGATTCGATAGGTTTCGGCATCGAATTTTGAAGTTGGAAATTTTATAATAAACTAAGTTTCAAGTGAGTTCGTACAAGACCTAAATTCAAACGAGCATACCTCTCTTGCTATGAAGATTCATATAGTGTATTACCTATTAAAAAAAAGGTCTATGTGTCTAGTTTCCAATGCTTCAAACTGTTCGTCATTCGGACATTCCTACAAGAAGTTATCCAAAGGATGGAAAAATACAATTCTACGACCAATTATGCGATCGCAAAACTGGTCGCAGAATGGACCAGAAGAGCCCAGTTCTGGGCACCATTTTTGCGATCAATTTTGCGGCCCGCATACCCATTCTGCGATCCATTATGTGACCGCAGACCTGCTTTCGGAGGGTTAATTTTTCTATTTTCATAACCCGGCCCCATTTTGATAAATAGGCTTTGGGGCTTATTTTGAGGTATTTTTCTGAGAGTTTTAGAGAGAGGTAAGAGCATTTTAGAGAGAAAAGGAGGGAACCTAACATTCTAATCATCCAATCTTCAACAATCAAGGAAGCTAATTACAAGATCTTCATCAAAGAGGTAAGATTCAACCCCTAGTCTTCAATTTCGAGTTTGGGGTAAAAGATTGGTAATTGGGAGTATGATTCTTAGGTGTAAGAGTATTATGTATATATGCTTGTAACAATAAGGTTTGTGGGAAGATTGTTGAGATCAAATAAGTAAATATTGGGTTGTGGAATGAAGGAAATCTTGTAGAAGAACCTTGTAACCAAATTTGCACACCTAGTATTTGATAAAATGCTCAAATGAGCTGAAACCATGAAAATTTTCCTAATTATGGTTCACTTTTGTTATGCTTCTAAATAGATTGAAGTTGCTAGAATTTTCGGAACCTCGTAGTAATGTAAGGAAGGCTCAAGAAAGATTGGAGCCGTCCGGAGGTCAATTTAAGCAAGAAGGCGATTTTGGAATATCGGCCTAACTTCAAAAAGGTAAGTGTCTTGCTTAACCTCGAGTGGGGGAATTTTCCTTAGACATTGAGTCTTATGTGCTAATTGTGTAATTAAAAACCATGTACGCGAGGTGACGAGTACGTACGTGGTTTATATGTGTGAATTTCATTGATTAAAAATCCTTAGATGCCCTTATGTATTAAATGGAAAATTATTGGCACTTATTAAATCCTCTATTTGTCATGCCTAGATCCTTGTTTGTTGAAATTATTTCTATATGAAGATTTGGTGTGATTGCCACCAAGAATTTATGTAAAATATATTTTGTTAAGATTTTGTACACATTATGGTCGAGACATGGGCTCCTTATTGTGAAAAATAATGTATTGTTGATTTCCGTGGCAAGTTGTGAGATGTGAGCACTTGATGTGCAGTTGTTGAAATCATATTTACTTTGGGACTACGGAACGGTATTCCGAGAGATCCCCCTGCTCTGCATATTTACTTTGGGACTACGAAACGGTATTACGGGAGATTTTCCCTGCACATTTACTTTGGGACTTCAGAACGGTATTTCGGGAGATTTTCCTGCACATTTACTTTGGGACTACGGAACGGTATTCCGGGAGATTCCCCTGCACATTTACTTTGGGATTACGGAATGGTATTCCGGGAGATTTTCCTGCACATTTACTTTGGGACTACGGAACGGTATTCCGGGAGATCCCCTCCCTGTCTTGCATATTTACTTTTGGGACTACGAGGCGGTACTTCGGGAGTGCCCTTTTGTTAATATTTTCTATGGATGCACTTGCCTTTGATTATTTTATTTTTTCATAATTTTTAAATTCTTGTGTTTTTCGTGATGTATTATTTCACTTAATATTAAGTGTTTTATATTTCTTGATGTATTGTGTTGACCTTGACTTTTTCGTACAAGACTTTGAGGATTTGTATTTTTCGGCTGTACTTGTTTTTGATGATTGAGTTGTTTTAAATGAAAGAAAAATTTCTAGTATGTTTAATTTAATAAATTCTATATTCAAATCAGTAGTTTAGCTGATGCTTTATTTTAATGAAAATGTCATTTTCCTCACTCAAACGAATTCTAGAATAAAATTATCTTTTTGTTGATTTCTTACTTGATTTAAAGATTTTTAACCTTACTTTATTGAAAATAAATTGATCATGCGGATCTTATATACATTGATATTTTGGTACGTAAGTTGTCCGTGCAGTTATGAAAATATTATGGGCATGAGGCGACGGAGAAAAATATAATAATTTTATTATTGACAGGTGAGTTGTCGGTGTGATGGTGATAGAAATATGGGCACGAGGTGCCGTGAAAAATATGAAAGTGGGATGAGACCCGTAATTTTTATGATTCTGAAATGAGGTGTCACATGGTGACTTTTACTTGAAAATATATTTATTGGAAAGAATTATATTTGAAAGATAATTATTCAAAAGAAGTATATTCGAAAGATATTTATCTTAAAGAATAATATGTGAAAGATTTATATTTGAAGGACTTGACTTGTTGAATTTACTTGTGTTTCTTATTCGCCTGAGTAATAATTATGATGTTCTTATTGCCTTGTTGTTATATCACTAGTTGAGTTTGTTGTTATCATTTCTACTTGTTTTTCAGTACTATTTTATACTGCTATATTGTACATGTTATTTGACTAGTGAGTGTCTTGACTGTACCTCGTCTCTACTCTACTGAAGTTAGTCTTGATACTTACTGGGTACCAACCATGGTGTACTCATACTACACTTTTGCACATTTTTGTGCAGAGCCAGGTATTGGAGGTATCGGACCTGGACAAAGTTAGAGTGTGATCGCAAGGATTCAAGGTAGAGCTGCTTGGTCGTCGCAGTTCCTTGGAATTTGTTCATTTCATTGTACTGTTAATTTTTAATCAAACAGTATTGAGTATTCGATCATTGAGATTATTTCATGTATTATGTTAGAGTTCATGACTCAATACTACCAGTCTTGGGAGGTTGTTATAATTATTTCCGTTGTTGGTTTCGTTTATAAAAAAAATGGCTTCGAAATGTAATGGAAATCGGCTTACCTAGTCTTGGAGATTAGGTGCCATCACGACGCTTATGGTGGGATTTTGGGTCGTGACATAAACTATTATTCCAAGTTCGTAATCTTGCTTGCCTTAGTTTTAATTCTCACGGAGGAATTGTTGTAGGCAAGATTATTGATTTTTTAGTAAAAATATTCTCACGAAGTTTTTACTACCTCTTAGCACAATTCAAGCAAGAAAAATATTTCGGTCTAATTGTCACTAGTTTTAACTCAATTAATCGCATAACCTCACGGAGTTCTATTATTTGACTACTTCTTAGTGAGCTAAATATAATTGTATTAGCAATAAGCAATTATTCCTCAGAGAAATACATGTAAAAATTGAGATTTTATTGTAATATATT